ATTATACGATCCAAAAATTTTTTTTTGCAGTCGTATAAAAATATTATGTTTTTGCTATCGTAAACACAATCTTACTTTGGTGGCAGTTTACATGTGCCTATCCTTTTCTCTTATTTTCTATGTGTTAAAAATCATCGCACATTTTGAATAAAAAAATCGTGCAAAATCATTTGATGACTTCGTTGGAACCAAACTTCAAGGAAATGACAAATTCAGGATCTTCTTTAAGAATCATACATATGTAGATGTCCATTGAAGCCATAAATCAGTGGTCTGACTCCTAACCTTGCAGGAAGAAAAAAAGGAGAGACACTTTTGCCCCCTTCCCATTCCCTTAGCATAAAAAAAATTCTGAATATGCTGTATACTATGAAGTAATTTTCATGATTTTATTTGCATATTGATTTTGTTTTAGTGAATGAATGTTAACTTTTTTGCACAATTTTTTGTCAAAACTATTAGTTACACAAAAGTGTATTTGTTGCATATCAATCGATGTTGATATTCTTCTTTTTATCTCATTTGCCAAGCTGTTTATATTTACGGGGAATCAGCATGTTCCATAGAACAGCCAGTAGAAAAATAAATCGAAGTTGATACATGGAAAGTTTATTCCAATAATAATTCTGTTTTAATTTTTTTTTTTTTATTCATTATTACTATTTTCCAGAACGTTTTATCTTGAGTTTATTACCAGTAACGTCTGCTCGGAGAATGTGCAAAAAATGAATAGTCCAATTCTCAGTGATTGCATGCGAGATAAATTTTTTGCCACTACATTCTCCATTGGATGCTACAATAACATGAATAACCACTAACGAAGGCCATATTCATTATTCATTCTTATGTATGGCCAGACTTATAGCATAATAGCAGAGAAAAGCTATTCTTCCAGGTGCCCGGAAGGATAGACATTTTTTGCTATTTTTCCAGCTAGCCAGAAGAATATCCACTGCCTTAAATTTATATGTATTATTTCAAAAATGTGCTTAAATCACAGAAGACTGAGATACAACATCATGAACATGTCTGATGTCAGAGTACTCTTTCAAAGTGAACTTGGTGGTATAAAAAGAAATATTTTAATCATTTTTCAACCCCAAATGACTTTGACATGTACATGTTACTTCAAATTAAGGTTTTGACCAAAATTTACTACCCACTTCAAAGTCATTACATTAAGTTCCAGACCAGTTATCAAATCATGAGTTGGTACAGAAGCTGAGATACATCCAATATTTAAAACAAAGAACTTTCATACAAAAAAAATCATTGTTCTGAAGTTAAAAAGTTATTGAAAAGAGTAAAAATGATACATATCACTAAATTCTATTCTTTATTATCAATTTCATCTCATTTTGGAGCCATGATTGTCAAGACATTTTTAACATGAAAGGTACTTTTGAGGAAGGGGAAAGAAACGGAAACAATGATGGTACTTAATACATTGAAAACCAAGTGTGTTACAAACGATGTGATGATTCTAATCAGAAACCTGGATCTCAAAAGTGCTTTCATAATATCAAAATAATAACATGAATACGAAATTTACATACATTACTACTGATACCATCACTGTTTGGCAAAAATGTACAACTTATTGTGAGGAATTTTAAGCCATTTTGTTTAGTAATTGGGAATTTTCTCCAGGGGAAAAAGCTGTATTTCTAATGTAATTTGAGGCAAACAATATCACTGAATTATTGTCATATATACAAAATTAAAGGTCTCTGCAAGGATTTGTATACTATACAAATCCTTGGTCTCTGGTAAAAATATGCAGATTTTTAGGAATAAAATCTTGTCCTGCAAAAAAAAAAAAAAAACTGACATACAAAAAGGGAAAAGAAGGAGTCCATGAAGAATTGTGACAAAAAACAAGGACAAAAAAAAAATAAACTGACAAACAACAAGGGAAAAGAAGGAGTCCATGAAGAATTATGACAAAAAACAGCAAGGGCAAACCTTTCCTCTTTTGTGGGTGTTTTTTTAGATCCCTTACTTATCCATCTTCATTAAAGACACTAGTAGTAATGATCATTAAAATGAGGATGATGATGAAGTAATGATCTAAAGGGGTCTTCAAAATAAGTTGAACACATTCTTAATATACATGTAGATGATTAAAATATGAAAATATTTTTTTTTTTTGGGTATTTTTTATTAGCAAACCAGTGAAATTTCATGAAACAAAACATGTTCAAAACCCTCTGGAAATGCTCCAGAACACAGGATTTAGCTTCATTTGTATCAAAATTTTCTGGGGGGGGGGGGCATGCCCCAGACCCTCCTAGATATGATCGTGCTGGTGGCATGACCGTCCAAGTGCCTTCAGCATTTGGAGGGCTAGTGAATTGACAAGAGGACTAGTAGAATAATAATTTCACTAGCCCTGCAGGCTAGTACATACATTTAGTTAGTGTCAAACCCTGTGAAGTCCAGTAATGGTGGACAAATAGCATTAAGGTGTTTTGTACGCCCTGTAATGTACAAAAGTGTTAGTAAACTGAGCAAAACTTAAAAGGAGGAATGAATTAAAAAAAAAAGGCTAGAGCTTAGATTAACCACTGCACATGTCCATGCTGGTTTGAAGTGTGATAACTCTTAACTTTATAGCTCTTCCTTAGTGGAATATGATAAGAGAATCTGTGTGAGGCCAAATAAGAATATGGTTCAGAATAAAGGTATATTTGTATTTACACTTTTCGTATTTAGCTGAATTTTGTCTCAGAATGATCTTAGATCGGTCTCCAAATAAATTTTTGACGTCAAGCAACAATCAATTTTTAATTATGACGTCAAATATTTAAAATTGTGATGTCAAATTTGACGGGAACTTGTGTGATTTTAAGTAATGGCGGACAAATTTGCATACAAGTGTAAATACGTCTATTGTCTATTGAGAATCTGAATTATCTTCACTACAGGTGTAATACCACCAAATCATAGTACGTCACATCCGGTTGCATACGAAAATAGGTCGAAAAAAAATATTCCCTTGAATTTGACAGTTGTAGGTAATTGATCCTACATTTCATTGCAGTAAAACATTTCTGGGTCATAAACATATATCTTGGGTATTTCAAAGCACCATTATTTTTTTATTTGGGGTTTCTATAGAATATTTTGGAAACTTGAGGTTACATGGTTACTAAAGCTTGTATACAGGTTAAAAAAGGGGGAAAATTTGATTGGTTAACTTCCAGTGATGGTTATTTTCTTATATGCAATGAAATGTTATGTGAAATTTTTTCTATAGTACTGGACAGGATCAAACTTTACTCATGCCAAGTATTTCTTTATTTGAAACAAAGATAAATTCTGCACAATTTTTTGAAAAGTGCAAATTTAACAAAGACTAATAGGGGAAAATCAATGGTGGTATTACACCTAATATAGGAAGCTGTACATGCACCTTTGACCTTGTGAGTACTCTCATGTGTTAAAATTTCTTGCTATTTAAGTGAAATATTACTAATAATGAAATATTCTGAGTGGATTGAGTCTCCAAAACACATTTTATGAGAAAATTTCCTTGAAATAGGACTTTACCATGAATATTAGTTGACAGAATAAGCCATACTTAGAGTTTTGGGGAGCTTTTTCTCCTTCTTTCTTATATTCTGCTATACTAGAAAATTTTTCCTAAGAAATACTTTAATAAATATATAGTTTTAAGTAAATGAAATTATTTTTAAAGCAGTAACAACAAATTATTCACCAAAAGAGAAGCTTTTTATGTCCCTCTCTGGAACGCGGCGTAAATTTAAGTTTTACGTAAGGACTTATTGAAACCTCCTTGGAGACAGTAAACTTTTATACGGATAGTTCATTCAGCTTGAATACTTCAATTAATCATTTATTATAACATTTCTATCATAAATGAGTGAAAGTTACCCCAAAATTTTTATTTATTGGCCTATAAAGTAGAAATTTTGAGGAAATGAGAGGTATAAATGGACCAAAAGAGACCTTATAAGGAAGACAAAGAGGTCCATTGGTAGTATTTATCATCCTAAAGTCATCTTTTGTATCATATTCAACTGTTTGTAGGCAGATGAGATAAATATTTGATCATTTATTGGTCCACACTATATTCTATCATGATGCGGCTTGGTTTGGATTTTTCGAAGAAATTTAGCTCGAATCGCTGCAGATGTCGTCTTACATTATACTAGATTTTTCTCAAACTATTGAACTGATTATGACAAAACTTGACAGGAATGCTTGAAATAACCAGTATAACAAAGGAAAAAAGTCACATTCAGTTTATTTAACAAAAAAGTCTTCTTTAGGTGTAATACCACCAAATCATAGTACGTCACATCCGGTTGCATACGAAAATAGGTCGAAAAAAAATATTCCCTTGAATTTGACAGTTGTAGGTAATTGATCATACATTTCATTGCAGTAAAACATTTCTGGGTCATAAACATATATCTTGGGTATTTCAAAGCACCATTATTTTTTTATTTGGGGTTTCTATAGAATATTTTGGAAACTTGAGGTTACATGGTTACTAAAGCTTGTATACAGGTTAAAAAAGGGGGAAAATTTGATTGGTTAACTTCCAGTGATGGTTATTTTCTTATATGCAATGAAATGTTATGTGAAATTTTTTCTATAGTACTGGACAGGATCAAACTTTACTCATGCCAAGTATTTCTTTATTTGAAACAAAGATAAATTCTGCACAATTTTTTGAAAAGTGCAAATTTAACAAAGACTAATAGGGGAAAATCAATGGTGGTATTACACCTACAGTAGTACAATTTTATTCATATCCTTAACTGCTATAGAATTAAGCAGATCTTTAGACAAGAAAACTAAATCTTCATTTGATGTCAATAACAAGATAACACCACATTTTGTGATGATAGTTGCTATCAAGTGTAAACATGATCTCCAGGCATTTCTAAAAAAAAAAGGTTGTCTCCCCCTTTTCAACCAAACACGTGGTTAAAATACAAGCTTTATAGTAATAATTATGGAGAACTAACTCGTGTTCCTTTAAATCTACATTTAGCTCTGATATTTTGCTAGCAACTGCTCTTTGTTGTTGTCTTAATTCCTGAAAACCAGCAACTATTTGCTCCTGTGTTTTGCCTTTTCCTTTCGCAGCCATTTTAATGCTCTTCGTCTAAGAAAACGAAATCCAAATATATATACCAATATTTTGAATTAGATTTGGTATTTATTCATTTAAATTGTATTGAAAAGCCGAATTTAATATTTATTCGGGATTTCAACAACATTTATAAAGAACTAGTGAAATATATTTCAAAAACATATTGTTCGTTTTACGATTAGATTTGGAATTTTTAGAAATCCTCACTTTGTTTACAGATGGCGGCGAAATAGAGAGATGTTCAAACTGGAAGTCCACTTGACATGATTTCTCAGCCGAGGCCTACTCTGAAAAGGTTTAGACATCTAATTTTGCATTATTTCCTTTTAAAAGCATTGACTCTTAACACAAACACTACACTATTGATGTGAAAATATTTCATTTTATCTTGTTGAAACTTGTCTGTCACTTTCAGAGAAAATATAAAAACTTCTCAAATTGACAAAAATAAATTTTCATGATTCAATGGGTATTCTAGTCACTTCGGCACCCGTTCAAGTCAATTCGGCACCTAGTCAATTCATGACCAGGTTAATTTGGCATCCGAGGTAGTTTTTTCAGCACCCCTGCAATTAATATTATGTTTTGCAAGTAAATTATCGTAGATTCCATTTATCATGATATTTTTAAATATTTTCACTCGAGGTGTCAACATATATTTGTTGCACGTAAGAGAAGTTCCAATGGAAACTTTGTTATAAACAAAGGGACTGTAATATCTGTTCCTATTGGAACTTATATCATAAAGGAACGTCTATTTCATGACAACTGCACATTACTAGTAAACATGGCTTCAAGATTGGTGCCAACGTTATTCATTTTATACAAGTAGACAGGAAATGCAGAAAAAAAACCCAATTCAAATTACAATGATTAAAGTAGTTTTTATCCTCATCTGTGGATTAAACAACAGCTTCTGTAATGGTTCCTATCTTTACTTTTTTATGCCCCAGCCGTATCGGAGGGGGCATTAACTTTTACCCTTGTCCGTCTGTATGTCCCAAAATTAGTTTCTGTTCTCTAACTTTAGTTTGCCTCAACCAAATGACATGAAACTGATACACAATGCTAATTACCACAAAACACAGATCAAGTTTGAATTTTGGTGGCGTCAATTTTACCGTTCTAGAGTTATGCTCCTTTACAAATATCAAAATTGCTGAATTTTTTGTTTCTCTCGCTAACTTTAGTTTGCCTCAACCAAATGTTATGAAACTTATACACAATGCTTCTTACCACAAAACTCAGATCAAGTACTAATTTGGGTAGCGTCACTTTTACAGTTCTTGAGTTATGTCCCTCTTTAACAGTATATGCAAGCGGGGGCATCATCTGTGTCCCATGGACAAATACACATTCCCCATTTATTTTAATTATGAAAGATAAAAAACTACCTGAAAATTTTAAACAACAAACGGGTTATAGCTGACTGTGAGGTATGGGCTTTGCTCATTGTTGAAGGCCGTACGGTGACCTATAGTTGTTAATATCTGTGTCATTTGGTCTCTTGTGGAGAGTTGTCTCATTTGCAATCATACCACGTCTTCTTTTTTATATTGTTTGTAATTGATATAAGTTCATAAGTTTTTAAAGTAAAAACCAATCAAAACATTATTAATACAATACAATACAATATTTTTTTTTTTCAAATTAAAGGGCCCATTAAGAGCATAACATTAATAACAACATAACATAAACATTACATAGTGATTAAAGAAACATAAAATAATAGTTCAAATGCATGAGGAAAGGGTCAGTGGTCAAGGGGAGATAATTTTGCTATCTAACTAATTTTCTGATTTTCTAAGTTGCAGGCCTTTATCAAGGGATGCACATAAAATAGATAAAAAACTGCTATCTTCATTACTCGTGATCCATGTAAAAAGATCATTTCTTTTTAAATTAACTGAACTGGGGTATTTTTTTATATAATCAGTCATATCTCTTCTGAGGTTATTGTAAAGAGGGCATTCCAGAAGAAAGTGCATTTCATTTTCAATAGAATTTGAATTCTAATATAAACATATCCTCTCATGTCGAGGTAATATTTCATATTTACCACATACACTGATAAAACGTTCATGTCTGCCAGTTTCTATTCTTAAACATTGATTGCTGAGTCTGTTTTTTGTTAACAAATGTTTTTGGGGGTGCTTTAAATCTAAATAATTTTCATAGTCAAATGACCTCTTGAATGAAAAATAAGTGTCCAATTTGCCTTGATTCTGTAAATAAAAATCTCGCATTTTCTCCCAATCATTTTGAGAATTTAATTTGAGCTGTTTTTTCAGTAAATTTTTTAATTTATTTTTGCCTAAATTTTTACATATATTTAGGTCAATACCCAATTGAATATTGAGAAAACTTCAAACAGAAAGCCAACTGATTATTGTTTATTGTGTATTCTTTCTGCTTAATTACATGTGCCACTGCCATGACGGCTGGGTAATTAACGATGTACAAAATGAACCTCTGAAATTGTAAGTTTTGCAAAAAAAATATATATAAAAAAAAAGAAAAACTATTCTCAAATAAAAAGGAAAGAAAACTTTAAAAATAGTTTTAGGTGCGAGTTGAACTATCAAATGCCGTAATGACTTTAAATAGGTGTCCATTTGACTGTGCCCATTTGGCTTTTTCTATAGGTGCCTAATTGACCAGGTGTCAATTTGACTGGTACCCATTTAATGATATTGATAATTACAAATTGGATCATTTTTGAAAGACTACCGTAGGAACTCATATATATTTGGACCACTTATTCATGGTTGGACGTCCACTCATCTGTCCAATTAGACCGAATTCTTCTGTCTCTATATAACATATATTTCTAGATCTTCATTTGCTTTTTACTATTTTTTTTTTTGCTATATAGATGTAGATATATCGCACACTAAAAAATAGTAAAAAGGAAATGAAGATCAAGAAATATACGTATACCCTATATTCAGACAGAAGAATTCATGGAATTAGGTCTACTGTCCAATAATATCTTAAATCACACCAAAAACGCTTAAAATATCAAAACCACTTAAAAATAACCATTAAATGTTTCATTTCTAGTGAAAAAAATTATGTGTTTACTTATTTTTACATGAAATTCTACAGAGAACTGCTTTTATAGAGGAAGAATGTCAAAAACACTGGTGACTCTAAAATATTTATTTTGCGTGTTGTATCTGTATACGTGATATTCTGCCAATCGCAAGACAACTTGGCCATAAGACAACTAGGTCTGTCTACAATGCAAAAACTGAAAGTGATAGTTTTGATGCCCATTTTGATTATACCCCACTGTATATGAATTATTACATGAGTGTCTACAACGAAAAAAGACAACTTGTATCAACTTTAAAGAGAATTTGGACTGTTTATATAGACAATTCAAGATCACAACTTTTGGACTCAGGACAATTAATTAGAGCTTGACATTTTGTGTAGACCTGCATCTGTCTATTGTTGAAAATTGTATGATGCTTCCTAGATTTATTTTTATTTCTGCTGTTTGAAAGCTGTATATATGTACTCAACCATTGTTTTTTTTGGCAGATTTCCTTAAGCTGGATATATATTACATCCTCAATTATTTTAAAGTGCTGTGTTAGTAGTCAAAAGCATATTTCAATTTTAAAATGAAATAATCACTAATATATACATAGATTTATGCTCTTATAATATACAAAGGTTTATACTCTTATAATATACTAGATTATGGAGTGTGTGTCCGAGCGAGAACTTCTCTATGTTCATTACTTTAGGAATATTTATCAAAAAGTAGTATTTCACATTCAGCCCCATTCTTCTATTTAGTCAGACGTCAGTCGCTACCCTGATATACCCTATCTTTTGTTTTATTTTTCGGGTAATTTATGACGGATAGCGTTTGACGTCTTTAGCCCAACAGTTTTATCATATTCACATAATTCAATTTATTGTGTGCTGGTTCATATTCTGGGAGCCAGTCTTGGCTCCTTTCTAAAAAACCACAAGTTTCTCGCTGCATTGAAGACCCATTGGTGACCTTCGGCTGTTGTCTGCTCTATGGTCGGGTTGTTGTCTCTTTGACACATTCCCCATTTCCATTCTCAATTTTATAGGTATCTTTTTTCATTAGATAAATAATTTCCAATTCATTTAGTTTAATTATAAGGTAAATTCAATGAGATTATAATAAACAAAAATAAAAAATAATGAATTAAGTTAATGGATAGATTTAGTTTGTTTAATGAATAAATAAAGATTTAAAACATCGAACCACCCTGATGATGTTAAAATTAGAATTTACATTAAACCAAATATTTTTGGCACAGCATTTCATTTGCAAATGCAGCAAGGTATAAATGAAACTTTGATGTGAAATATAAAATTTTATCATTTAAATAGCCCAAACTCTGTCAGAGTCAGCATTATAGATGGTCCAAGTTGACTTTAAAGGACCTATTGACATATATATATACTTTAGGTTAAAAAAATTAGTAAATAACAAATCCCAAAAATAAAAAAACCAAATTCAACCTCATAATTTGTTTGCTTAAATTAATTTTTATAATAAATTAATAAAGATAAGTATATATTCAAATTCAAACACAAAATTTTGATAATGTTTTGCAAATTCAGCAACATTTAAATGATACCTCCATGTAAAATATAACATTTAATCATTTATAATCCTTTAAATAGTCCAAAACCTCTTTTGATACTTAAATTATATAAGTTGTCATTATTGGTGACCAAGTACTTAAAGTAGTATTGGCCCAAGTTGTCTCTGGGTTGAGTTATTTACATTGTTCAGATCAATCTCCTCATAGCATATTATAGGTATTGTACACAAACACATTTTTAAAAATAATGCAAAAGCATAGAGCACGACAATGTATATGTTATTGTGGAATTCAATAATTAAGAAATAATTCATGGGGGCTTGAATATATCGTGATTTTACCACGGGTTGGCCCTTTATGACAAATATTTTACCCTGAGCGATAGCGAGGGGTAAAATATCGGCATAAAGGAACAACCCGTGGTAAAATCGCGATATATTCAAGCCCCCATGAATTATTTCGATTCTAATAGGACAAATACGGCAATTGTTTTGGATGGAAGCGCTCTAGATGAAGGCATTTTTTGCCGTTCCCATAAATAAACGCACTATCAAATTGACGTAAAAGACCGGAGCAAACTGAATAAATGACATTCTTAAACTATTTACAATAACATATTTAGATAGGTTTGGATGAATCTAAATGATAATTGTACTGTTATATGTATACAAAAAATGGCTTATATAACACATTTAAGCATCGTTTGTTTACGTTTCCTTGTTGTGATGATTTTCTGGTTTACAAGCGTGTATTTTCCCGTAAAATGCTTATATTCTTACGTCATCGTTCTATGACGTCGGGTAGCTCATTCATAAAAAAGCATATGACGCGGGAGTACGATCGGAACAGCCCAAACAATATATTCATATTTTACCACGGGTGTGTACTCAAAGCGTTTGAAGAACGTCATGTTAGAATTAGGCTTATAATTTAACTTATACATGTTATAATATATAGATTGTTTATTTGTCTATTCATACAATTTATATTTGATTTGCTTTATTGGTTCACTCTCTTACTCAGAATACCAGTAGCTGTAATACATTGTGTAAATGGTCTTTCCTAGAACAAAATTAATTATTTGTCTTTATATATATCTTTATTTCTCAACAAACCAAATTACATTGGTATAGAGATACACACAATAAATATTAATTATAATTACATAATGTATATGTACAGACATACAAAGGTTATAGGAAAGCAAGACTTTTGTAGCTGCAAACTTCTTAGAATAGTCATACATGTACATGTCATAAGTGTTTTAATCACATATGCTATGCTTTTAAATGAGTATATAAATCAAGTATTAGAATGACTGTTTTGAGGTATTCAGTATGTAGATCAATGATAGTGAACTTACTTTTGCATTATTTATTTTTTTACTATACAGAGATCCATTTTATGTTGATCCACCTCCTAAAGCACATTACTATCCAACAGAAAAGAAAAATCTCTCTGAAAACCAGAAAAAGGTAGGAATAATTTTTCAAATATACATTTGACACTCAAGTTAGATTAGAAAGTCTAATGAGCAAAAGGTTTTACCTAATAATAAACTTTTTTAGGATTGAAATTACTCCTGTAAATTATTAATATAATATTTAGATACACAAATTATCTCTAAATTATGCAGAACGGAAGAAGTGGGCATAAAATTGAAGTATTTGTCTGTTTCCTGTCTGCTTCCACATGTACATTTTTGTCTCGCGTTGAAAAAGCAAAACTTTAAATAGGCATGGTGTTGTCAGCAGCTGTGTCAACAATGTATTAGTTTGTGATAAGGTCAAGTTTATGGGGAACCACTAGTTGTAGGTCAATGATATTTGGTATGCAGTTGTGTTAGCATTGGCACATCTCATTTCCATGGAGATTATTTTTCTCCACCACCTCCGTCATGGTCTATTGACTTTGAAACTTTTGCTTAGTTTACATGTACAGTATTAGTTTGTGATTAGGTCAGTTTAACATGTTTAAGGGGAACCATTAGTGGTAGGTCAATGATATTTACTAAATTAGTATATATATGCAGTTGTATAAGCATTGGCACATCTAATTTCCATGGAGATTTTTTGGCTCTCCCTTTAGTCATGGTTTGTTGACTGAATGTTTTGGGTTATTTACAATGTTAATGTTTGTGATGTGATGATTAGATCAGTTTGGGATAAAGGACTAATGTTAAGTCAATGATATTTGGTATGCAGTTGTATTGGCATTGGCAAGTCTCATTTCCATGGAAATTATATGGCCCCACCCCCTCACATTGGTTCATTGACTCTGAAATTTTTACATATATAGATTACAAGTTGAAGTTTGTGTTTATGTTAGTTTAAATGGAACCACATATGATAAGTCAATGGTATTTGGTATGCAGTTTTTTAAGCATTGGCATTTCAAATTTCTTGGGCTAGCACCTTCAGTCATGATTCATTGATTCATTGACTTTGAATGATTTACGTAGTTGACATGTTTAAATATTGCCATTTTAATTTCAACATTTGCATCATACCATCAAATTTACAAAATGCAAGACATATCTCTGTGTCAACAGTTTATTCTCATAATTCACATTTATTGATCTTGGCGTTTGTTTAGCATTTATATGTTATAAATAGTTAAGGTAATATATTTTGCAGGTAGAGACCTAAATCAGGGCAATGGACTTGAGTTCAGAGTTTTTGTCTTATTGTGTAATTTTCTATAACTTCAGTCATGTCTGTTAGATCAATATAATATATATATATTTATTTAGTATACCTTCTTGCAATTGTTTATAAAGTTTATTAAATGTATATATAGTGATGCATGAGTGTGTATCATATTTGTATTTACTTGTAATAATCACTTAAAGCATGAATACTTTAAATTGGGATGTATGTAAATTAGGCAGCGACCCAACAACACAAAAAAAAATACAGCTTGAGTCACTTGAGGTGAACTCACAGTCTTCAACAAAACACAGGTGTCTCTACAAAAAGCCAAGCTATATCAGTGTGAGTCTAAAAAAATGTGAATTAAACAGAGACAAGCAAAAAGCTACCATCAACTACAAATTCCCAATATCACAAAAAGACATTAATTGCTTACATCCACTTCATTTGAACTTTAGTGGATAGTCGTCTCATTGGCAATCATACCACATCTCCTAATTTTTGTCTCGCCTTGACGGAGTCAAAAAGCGAGACATAGGTATGCTGTTTCTGGCGTCAGCGGCGGCAGCATCAACAATGTATTAGTTTGTGATTAGGTCTAGTTCATGGTGAACCACTAGTGGTAGGTCAATGATATTTGGTATGCAGTTGTATTAGCATTGGCACATCTCATTACCATGGAGATTATTTGGCCCTGCCCCCTCAGTCAAGGTCTATTGACTTTGAAACTTTTCATAGTTTACATGTATTAGTTTGTGATTAGGTCAATTTATGGGGAACCACTAGTGGTAGGTCAATGATATTTGGTATGCAGTTGTATAAGCATTGGCATATCTCATTTCCATGGAGATTATTTGGCCCTGCCCCCTTAGTCATGGTCTATAGACTTTGAAAATTTTGCTAAGTTTACATGTATTAGTTTGCAATTAGGTCAGTTCAAGGGGAACCATTAGTGGTAGGCCAATGTTAATTGGTGTTCAGTTGTATAAGCATTAGCACATCTCATTTCCATGGAGAAAACTTGGCCCCGCCCCCTCAGTCATGGTCTATTTACTTTGAAACTTTTGCTTAGTTTACATGTATTAGTTTGTGATTAGATCAATTTAAGATGAACTGCTAATGTTAAGTCAATGATATTTGGTATGCAAATTTATTGGCATTTGCAAGTATCGTTTCCATGGAGATTATATAGCCCTACCCCTAATCATAGTTCATTGACTTTGAAACTTTTACATAGTTTACAAGTTAATGTTTGTGTTTAGGTTTGTTCAAAGGGAACAACTTATAATTAGTCAATGGTATTTGGTATGCAGTTGTATTAGCATTGGCACATCTCATTCCATGGAGATTGTTTACCCATGTACCTTCAATCATGGTTCATCGACTTTGAATATTTGCATAACTTACATGTTAAAGTATTGCTATTTTAATTTCAACATTTGCATTATAAAAATTACAAAAAGGCGAGACATATCTCTGTGATAACAGTTTATTATATTAAGATATAACAATATTGATGGATAGATCAATTGAATTTTAACATAGTGTTTAGCATCCAGTTGCAAGTATTACATGAATATCAGCACCAGAACATGTTAATGATGATGATATGAATATAAAACCTTTGTACTAGACTGACATGCTGAGCTTCATTTTCACATGCTAGTCTGCAGAAAGACCTGTTTTCCATAACCAAAGACACATGAGGCGAGCAAGAGTCCTTTGAGGCGGTTAGATATAAGTTGCCAAAATACCTATTAAGAACAGACATAACTTATTTTCATACTATTAATGATAAATAAGACAAATTTGCAACTTCATGATTAGCACTTATTTTCTAGTAATCAAAATTATAAATTTTTAGTGATGCATGTATTTATATTCAGCTGTTTACATTAACATTTTAAGATGATTATTTCTTTTTTAAATAGTGTTCATATGTAACTTGTAAGGAGTGTGAATCAAAAGTTTTTGGCAAACAAAATATTTTGGATTAATTCAGAGTTTTACACTAATTATTTTGTCAGACATGAACTTTCAATTATCATGATTATGTATCTATATTTTGTTATTTACACAAATATTTTAAGTGGGTTATTTTTAAAATAATTAAAAATATTCAGGGGAAGGACTATGAAAAAAGGTTTAGTTTTGCAGCATCCTTAACATTTTTTAATTTTAAGTTTAACACTGATTATTTTAACATTGATAAGTGCAGGTTGTTATATAAAAAAGTTCCATCTTAGAAAATCAAATAAAAGTTCCTATATGTGATTGTTGATACTTGTTTCAGTTTAATGCATAATTTGATAAAAATATATTTTGTGTTGTATTTTTACTTTCAGACAGCTATCAGTCCAATTAGATCAAGTACCAGGAAACGTAATGAAGAGGAAAGACTGAGTTATAATGATGAACTATTTTTAAAGGGAGGTAACTCATTCACCCCAAAAGCAAACCAGAATGAATCTGGTTCCTCACATTTTGATGAATCATGGCCAAGCACAGACAGGCCATTAAGGTAAATTTAGTGTATAGTAAATGTGAACAATGATGCATATAACTATGATCACAGACACACAGGAAGCTTAAGAAGATAAAGAATAGAAAAAAATTAAACTTAAGCATCAAAATAAGCTTCATCTTAAAATTCATTGAAATACAAGAACATTATTACATAATTATTCAGGAGGACACCATTGATGTATATATTGCATAGAATATATCTTGCTTTCTACTTTGTTCTAGACTGACTTCTCCAGTAAGACTTTTTATATACATGAACTAGTTTACACAGTAACACTCAGTTGTGTCACCATACATGGATTTCTTATTCTCCTAGCTGCATGTCCTTGCTCTTACTCGTAAATGTGGTATGTTAAGCTACAAATATCAACTTTAAAGTATTTGACACATCAAATTCACAGCCTCCTTTGGAAATATTGTAGGATTCTAAGAATTAATTTCTCAAAAGAGGTACTGAAAATACTTTTAATGGTTCCAGTTGCAGAGTCTTATTATCCTGTTCCATCGGTAGAATGAGATTAAGTTTCAATTAGGGAAACAAAGTTAAATTCCAGTGTTCAATAAGCGTTCATTGAAAAAAAGTTGAGAGAATCTCTGTGGAACAGAGCAATTGCTGCAGATTTTGTGTGATAATGCTTTGATTCACAGCAAAGTGATATATAATAATTATTTAATATACGTCACTGTGAGAGAAATTTCAGAGTTGATCACTGACAGCCATCAGCATAATAACCATTAAGAGTGATTATTGACTCAATCACCTACCAGGTATCTCTACCTTATTTTTTAGGATTTTTATATCTTGCTCCCAAGGAAGGGGTATACTGTTTTATCTCTGTCTATCTGTTTGCCCGTCCATTTGTCTGTAAGAAATTTCTATGGCATTTTTTTATTTGCCAAGTGTTAAACATTGCATATATATAATTTAAAGTAAAAAATGAATTGTTTTACAATGCCAGTCCAAATTTCACTGCCTTCTTTTCTTTACTCATTATTTAAGTCTGTTCTTTTGGGGCCCTTTATAGCTTGCTGTTCGGTGTGAGCCAAGGCTCCGTGTTGAAGACCGTACTTTGACCTGTAATGGTTTACTTTTATAAATTTTGACTTTGATGGAGAGTTGTCTCATTGTCACTCATACCACATCTTCTTATATCTATTCAAAAGAAAATAAGGAACAACTCGACAAGACAATTCAATTTTTGTAATGAAATGATAATCATTTGACTCTGCTGACATAATTTTGCTGCATCTTTTGATGAGTCCAGTCTTATTCTAATAAGTTTAAGGCTCATGGACTCATCTTAGTGAGAACCCTGTATATAGTGGTGAATGAATGCAAAGTCTGAATATGTTTGTTCAATATTTCAGTATAACAGATGAAGATCACCCTTTGAACAACATTATATTTCAAAATAGTGGAGATAGATATGGTGATTTAAAGAAAACATTGCAGTTTCCAGAGAGGGATCCTCCAGCAGACAAAAGAAAATCTAACCTTATGTCGCAGAATGGAAATATGAGACAAGACAGTTCATCAACTTTACAAAAGTAGGTGTTATAAAAATGTACAAGCGTGAACATATTTTGCCGTTAATTTTCTCGTTTGAATTGTTACATTTGTCATTTGTGGCCTTTTATATGTGGTATGGGTCTTTGTTAAAGGCTGCATGGTGATCTATAGTTAACTTCTACATCCTTTGGTCTCTAGTGGTGAGTTGTCTCATTGCCATTGGCAATCATACCACATCTTTTTTTTATATTCTTTGTTTATATAATTTCTGTTTTCATATGAATAAAAGGGGATGTCAGATAGACATCAATAAGACAAGAAAAACCATCAATACAAGTTGTCAAAAACAGAAAACACTCTTTTAAAACAAAATTTCCTGTAAAAAATCTGTTAAACACAAATGTTTGATTCTGCCTTTCAAGAGATGTGGACAGCTCAACAAAGTAATGTTTTTTAATTTCTCAATTTGCATAAGCATGATCTTTTATCTGAATTTATATGAATAAATTGCTTTTACCTTAAATTTGAATTACAGATATATTGAGAGATTCCGTTCAGGACAGCCAATGAGTCGTGAGGAGAGACAGAAGGCCTCATCTTCTGCTCAAAGAGATTTTTGGTGGTTATCAGATAGATCCTATACTGACAGCTCAACACCAAAAGAAGACAGCCCTGGTGCTAAAAAAACAAGACGATTTACCCCACATTCTCCTATAAGCCCATACAAAGGTCATGATAAAGGATTTGGTTACAAGAAACCAGAGTTAAAGGTAAATATATGGAAATTTTAACTTTTCAAAAATTATACTCTGTGACTTGTAAACAGTGGGTAGGCACTTTTTTAGAACTTCACCACCCATAATATAAATCAATTTTGGAACAGCCCTTAGCCATATGGTCAGTGATCAGTTTAGCTGGTCGATATATATGTGTTGCAACAACAAAAAATAGGTGAGCAGTTCAGGCTCAAGGGAGCCTTTAGTTTGTCGTTTTAATTTATTTTTGGGTCGATGTTCAACAATACCAATTATTGGTTGGCTGTATAAAATTTTTGAAGAAACATAAAAAATACACTGAAACTACTTTACCTTACCCTGTGCAAACCATAAAATTTTCTAAACTAAAATCATTTATCATGATTCATGATTCATGACATCGAAGAAATTTATTTAGTAATGTAACCTGTATAAAATGAACACCTGCATAATGCAAGCAAAATAGTTAGTCCTGAAGGGGTAAGTGTTAGACAGGTAGATAATTTACAGACAAATCATTTGAATTGCTATTGTTTTTCATTTTTCAGGACTTAGCTCCACATGCATTAGATGATACAACTAAATTGTTACAGGAGAAAGCTGATAGACTTCTTGATAGGTAGTATATAGCATTATTAGTATTTACTAGGGATGTCAACTCGGTAAACAATTACTAATCGAGTACTCGTTGGTAATGAGCGATACTGGAGTACTCGCTCGGGAATATATCTATAAAACGGAAACACAAAAATACGTATTTTACATTCTGTGGGTTGTTCAATAGAAGAAAAACCATCTACATAAGTATCTGGGACAAGAAATTACATACCAAAATTAATAGCTCATTACCTGCAAGTACTTAGTCTAATTAAGTAAAAAAATAATAATCTAATTAATATAATTTAATGAACACCTATTTAAAAATTATAACAAGGAAAAACCATATCAAACAATAGTATTTGGTAATATTATTAATTCGTATATTTTAACTAATTTGATTCGTTCAGGGATAGTCACATGTTAAACTATATTTTCGAAGGTAGAGAGAAAACGGCGGATAGCAAAAAGCATATTGCACGGTTACTTTTAGAATATCTAAAAACCGATATACTTTGTGACGTCATGTAATGAATTTCATGATATTGTTAAAAGTTTTATAAAAAAATATCTATGATCGATTATTTGAAGAAAAAAAATCTTCAAATACATAACATGTAAAAAAAAACATCAAAAAAGTAAATGAAATAACAACTAATCTGTTGTTATTGTCTAGGAGACAATATCATATCTATAAAATTACAACAAGATCAAATGACGATTTTGATACAAATATGGTCGGAAATTAATAATATAATAATTATAGCCTATTTATGAGGTCAATACAGGATATATCGACCCAAAGAAGTATATCGACCTCGGACTTCGTCCTCAGTCAATATACTTCTTTCAGGTCAATATATCCTTGTATCGACCTCCTACAAAGGCTATAATTGTATAATGTTTACAAAGGCAGAAGGATTAGAAGTTTAATTATTCACTGAGGGTCGCCAGAGGATGCAACGGATTTATTTTATTTAGAAACATTCATTTTTCTTGTCAACTGTTATTGGGGGCAGTCGGTTTTGCAACTCTGTATATTAATGTCTTGCAGACGAAAATATTTGGTCTAACGTAACTGATGTGACGGAATGGATAAGACATATTTAGTTTAAAGTGTTAGCCTAGGTAAAACCCACATATTTTCTTAGGCATGTTTAATGATAATTTAGCACAGCATTCGAAACAAAATGTATTTTATTTACTAGTTAATCAGTGATGCCTATTTAATTTTCGGAAAGAGGTTCAAAGAAGATCTATTTTATATAAAGAAGACAGCAATATTCTAACAGAAAACCGATTAGTCAAGTAAAGTTTTGATATTCGATACTCTGTACTACCGAGCGATACTCGAATACTCGAGTACTCATTAACATCCCTAGTATTTACATATTTTCATGTAATTATAAAACATAATCTTTTTTTTAAAAAGGGTATAAAAACATTTGACTAGAAAAATACATGTCTGAAAATAAATGTTGTAATTATGTCAGGAAATTTGAGTGTCATTCTAATGTTAAATGATATGTAAGCTGTAGCCTCACATAGGGATCACTTCTGTCTTCTTGTGCCATCTGCATCACACCATTTAAATCAACATTTCCTTGAAAATGGCTTGACAGAATGAAACCAAACTTGCACAGATTCATATGATATAAAGTTGTGCAACTTCTATTTTAAATTTTGATCTGACTGATTCTTGGGGTTATACCAAATTTACCAAAATTAGTCTTGGCTTAACATCATGCAGTGTTCCATTTTGAATTTCCGGGAAGAAGGGAAAAAGGTCACTTAGCTTGGTAATCCAAATTTTTTAGGGAACAAATAGGCAATGTATATGACCTCAGGTATGTTTGCCCTAGCTACAAGAACATGTACCTAAAGAATCAAACAATTTAAAGAATTTTCAAAAATTTGACATTTTTGGGCTGCTGACACTGCTTAATTTTCACATATTCAGGACAAAAAGCTGCATTTTAAGCTTGTTAAGAAATAATTATATTTGACAAAAAAAAATGTACCTCATTATTATTTTCGTTTCTTTGTTGGCAACAGTTGAAAATATTTCATCATACTATCATTTCATTAAGTCAAACATGATAGTTTTAATTATAAAATGTACTATAATTATAATCCAGAGCTCCAGATAAGCTGCGTATTTGCGTGATCACGCAATACAAATAATTAAAAACCCAATGCAATTGCCCATTGCAGGGTTCAATAACCCAATTAATTCAAAGGAAAACCCAATTATATGCCAAAACCATGAGTTCTTAACGCTTTTATTCGCTATCGTTTGCGTTATTTACCCTTGTCTGATTACAGTCGTCGCGTAAATCTATTTTTATAATTTATAATTGGAAATGTCCTTTCGTTCTTAAAATAGAGCCCTGCATCAAGTAGCTGTAATGTGTCCGTGTTGGAATTTCCGTTGCTCAAAAGGTACACGTGTTTATGAAAACATTTCGATCTTCTCGGCGTTTATCCGATAAGCGTGTGACATGCTGTCATATTTTTTCGAATTGCCCGGGATTTATCATAACATACAATGAATTAAAACGAAAGTAAATGTCCGATAAAAATATTGAATGGAAGCATGTTTTCGGCTTCTTTTTGATAGCTGAGGGAAAGTTATGATGATAACAAGACTCAGATAGTGATTTTAGGAAGCGTCCATTGAACGCACGGGCGTGTTTGAAGGTACGAGAACATTGCTATAGAACGATAAACACGGGGTTTCGTCAAAAACGAAATCAGTTGGAAAAAGTGAAAGGCCAAATCAATTATGACATGATATGAAGTTGGAAAGCATCGGAAACCAAAAGTTCTGATAAGGGACAACTTAACCCAGATTTATGTAAATTGAATTAAACAAAAACAGTTTATATATTATTTTTTTTTTCATTTTAGTTGATGAATGAATACACATATCCGTTTTTTACGTCAAATTATGCAGCTTGACACTTTCTTTGTTTTGGTCTAATTGTTCTGGATGCTTAAGATAGTTGTCTTATTGGCAAGTGCAGTATAACATTGTCATTTATTTACTTGATGTTGCAGAATTATTTGTAAATTTAAGTTGAATGTGGTCTCCATCATTAAACCACCCTATAAATCTCCAGGTTTTGGGGTTAATCTTAAATCTGGGAACTACTTTTTATTTTTATTAAAAAGTAGATCTGGCAAATAGGTGAAAGGACTGGCAAAACTTTCTTACAGCACCTAAATTTCACATATATTACATAACAATATAAGCCACACCTACCCCAACTATAAACTGTAGGGTGATCATATGGGATCTAGAAAGGCAATTAGTTACTGTCCAACTAGTGACACCAGCTGCAGTTTACATAAGTTTTGAGAAAATACAAAACTGACAGAACGTTTAAAACGGGACACAAATTAAACGTACAATTGCTATTCAGTGAATAAACCAAATAAAACAGCTAAGCACAATTACAAAGAAAGAAACACATTTAAGATGGAAACTCATCTGGGGTTGATATAATGTGATTATAACATGCCTAAATATTCAATATTGTGTTGATGAAAAAACCCAATACATTAAGGAGCTTGGTGGTGAAAAACCCAATTTGATATTTGCTTGAGGGGTGAATTGGAATTGATAATGCAATTAAAAAACTTTATCACCCAATTAAGTAAAAAAATGGTGGGTAAAACCCCCAATTTGTGAATTCTTATCTGGAGCTAAGTAGACATGTACATGTATTAAAAAAAAACATAAAATTTTCATTTTTTTGGTACTGATAGCAGTCTAAAATGAAGAGGCAAACTTATAAAATTAGGATACTTTTGAAATACTGTTAAAAGTAGCCAGTTGTATTTTTTAATGAATTTCAGTGCCAGCAGTGTAGCTTCTTCAGATCCTATTGTTAGTACAGATGGACTTGGTAGTTCTCAGTCCTTCAGCACTACTATATCTAGTGTAGAAGAGCAACCATATAGACCCTCTTTTGCAAGAAAATGGGGTAAGATTTATTGTAACTGATTAAATTTCTATATCAAATTCTAAATATTTTCTTCCACCACCAACCTCAACCACATAGGTGTTTTAATTCATGGATTTACTAGACTCATTTTTGGCTACACAGGGAACCCAGTTTATCAACATTAAGTATGAAACCAGTAGAAATTGATCCCCACAAATAAAAGTAAATACACATTATATTAAACTATTTGAAGGTTTTGTTGAAAACTGCACAAAGATTTTTGCCGATTTAGGGAAGTATGTTTTTTCCTACATACTTGATTTTGTGGTTTTAACAAATTCTTCATACAAATCTGTTAGAAATTTGTATTTAGTTGAATCCTAAACACTAAAATTCTGGGTTCAACTCTGACCTCAAAATCCAGGAAAATAAGTACCCCACAAACAAATATTAATTACTTTGGCCTATGCTGCTATGATAATATGTCACTACAGTCTTACTACAATCAACACAAGGGAATGGAAAAGAAATGATATGGTGTGTATTTATTCATGTCATAAAGTTCTGAATAGTACTTGTCAAAAAGTAAACACAGCATTATGGTTGTCTTGAATATCTTGAATGTCCTGTAAGATATGAAACTGTCCACTTCTTCATAAGACCTTCCAGCAACTCTCAAGATGATTAACAGCAAAAAATAGCACTGTTCTTTAGATATAGTCTTTGATTCCTAGATTTTTTGGAAAATGACGCTATCAGCGGCATGTTTCCGATACCATTGACCAGAACTTACGGAAGTCGATTATTGCCTCCGCCTACCGCACTCGGTTTCATATTTACTATTTTACATACTAACTGGAATCTGCTTGTATCACGCTACACTCGAACAAAGTGTTGTAGTCGGACGGGAACCAGTTTACATACTTTATTTTATTTACCAAAAAGATATCTTGACCTGTCCATATGTTTTTTGTTATAAAATGGTATTTGGAGCTATCCCTTTGTTATATTTTGCATATTTATTCGAGCTTTCACTTTTATGCACATGTCTTACAGTCGTAAACAATCGGTATGTATACATGATAAATAGATCCGTTTTGTTATGGTGTTGGACTTTTTCCCTTCCAATTATCAGCAATCGCTAGACAAAATAGTTCTAAATTTTTTTTAAATATATTTGCATTACACATGCAATGGCAGTACCTTTCCAATTGCTATTTATGTGTTGTGTCTAAATTAAAGTTGTAACACTTTATAGTGACTGGAAAGGGTAGAAAAATTCATCAGATGAGAAAAGGCTGAAGATACTTCAAACGGCACCGAATCATTAGATATTGCATCTTGTAAAAAGAAACTGAGATTTGGATAGTTCCACTTCAAGGTAAAAATGTTTATCTCTTGTGAAATGAAATAAAAAAAATATTGTAACACTGTAGTTAATTAATAAAGATACTATTACGCGATTTCTATTACGTGTATTTCTGTATTGGCCTTATTATTGGTTCTCGGCCAGCAGTCACACGGCACCGAATCATTACATATTGCATCTTATAAAAGGAAATTGAGATTTGGATAGTTCCACTTCAAGGTAAAAATGTTTATCTCTTGTGAAATGAAATAAAAAAAATATTGTAACACTGTAGTTAATTAATAAAGATACTATTACGTGTATTTCTGTATTGGCCTTATTATTGGTCCTCGGCCAGTAGTATTGGCCTTCCGCTTCGCCTCAGACCAATACACCCAAGACATGGACCTATAACAAGGCAAATACAGAAATACTTACGCAATGATATTATAGAATGACAGTATGGTTCAATAGCGGGAAGCAGCCCCTCAACTACTTTTTACATAAATATTAACTTCTGGCTTCAACGCTTTGTTCGTCTTGTCTGGAGATCTTGCTGTAGTTCCAGTTCAGCAAGCATTTTAGAGACGTATCTCGTCCATCCTCTTTTGACTTGTAATCTCTGGTGATAGATTTTGCCGCTTGACATTGTATCCCTTCAAGCTTGTTTTTTTTTGTTACCGTGTAGGGGTCCCATACTATGGCTCCATATTAAATAAAGGCAACAGTAGTATACCGCTGTTCGAAACTCATAAATCGATAGAGCTTAAAACAAATCCGGGTTACAGACAAAATCTGAGGGAAACGCATCAAATATAAGAGGAGAACAACGACACAACAAAAACACAACATTAAAATGTAACTCACACAGACACGAACTATAATATAACAATGGGCATTATAAGATCCATTCCTAAAGATCTAGATCATTGTTCTAATCTGACACAAATTTCAATAACTGGAATGCTACCCAAGTTGAATATATGGTGACCCACGAGAACAGCATTATCACTATTGAAATTGTGTTTAATACCATGATTGTTCAATGTCATTAACTTAAATGGAGACAGACATTTGACCTGAAAGACATGAAAGGTGGTGTGGTAGTGCAAAATCAAAAACTAACTGACTATGATATATGGTTAAAGAATGAATCCCTATTTGTCTAATCTTCAAGGTGAAATAAAACTAGTAAAACAATATTATACTATTGTCTAAATATACAGAAATATAATTTGCTTCAAGTAACAGAAATAACTAGGTCACTAGTAACTTATTTAATGAGTATGTGGGGTATAAGAGCTTGCTAACAACAGGCTCTTCATAATCATTTGGTTTGAAAAGGATACTAGTAGTCTATATTCTTGATTTAGAAAAATGTAATTGCAACAAAAAAATCACATTACTTAGAATACTTTAGATCATTCAGGTAGTCTTTATTTATATGTACAAAAGAACAGCCATTAGTCATTGGATATTGTAGATCATTCAAATAGTCTTGACCTTTTTATTAGTACAAAAGAACAACCAGTAGTCATTGGATATTGTAAATCATTCCGGTAGTCTTGACCTATTTATTTATACAAAAAAAACAGCCAGTAGTAATTGGATACTGTAGATCATTCAGGTAGTCTTGACCTATTCATTTGTACTGAAAAAACAGACACATATACGAATATCAATTATATGCTTACGAGACATGTTGCAATGTTAAACTTATTACGGTATGTGAAAATCAAGACTTGCATAAAAAATATCACAATATTAGAGACAGTGGCGTCATTTTTCCTCAGAGCTTTCAGCTCTTTGATTTTTTTTTATTATTGTCATTTGTACATCCATCCTAACTATAATCTTTCTTTTCCATGTGTCTGTTGAAATGTTGATATTCCAGTCCATTTATTAAGAGATTATTATGTTACTTTCATCAGTTACTCTGTTAAAACTAGGGATGTCAACTCTGTGAAGATTTACTACTCGATTACTTGTTGGATTTACCGAGCGATATTCGAGTACTTGCTCGGTAAAATATTTACAAAATGGAAACACAAAATTATACCCATTATATGTGTCTTGTGGGTCGTTGTCTTGGGATCGTAAAACCCTCAACATTGTTACCTAGGACTAGATAATAGTCCAAGGAATTTTATACCATAATTAATAGCTCATTTGTATTTACTACATACATTTACTAATTATGTAAACTGGTAATAATCTAATCAAGTAATGAATTAAAATCTATACAAAAATTATTACTGAAACAACAATATTTGGGAACCGTAAAAAAACACATTTAATGATCAACAAAGGAGTGATGATTAGAACTTACTGATGCAATTAATCATTTTCTGAGGGTCGACACAGGGTGTAACAAATTTGTTCTTATCTAAAAATATTATCCTGTAAACTTTTTCTGGGACATAGCGATTTCTCAAATTTGTTATGTAACTTACAGTCCTGCTGATGAAAATATATGCTATGACGGTACAAAGGTGGGGGAGTGACTAAGATTAGCTTAAAGTGTAAGCTTTGGAAAAATGCTCTTGCTCATATATCCTACATGTACCTCTGTTTGAAGGAATTCTAAATGACAGTCAAAAGCAAACATTCAAATCTTATTTTAATTTTTATTAATTTTGATTAATATATGATTTCCCTGGGGGCACTCTCAATAAAAATATTTTTTGTTTAAATTTAAGAAAGTAACTACATTCTAACAGGAAACCGATTAGTTGAGTATCATTTTGGTAATCGATACTCGGTACTACCGAGCGATACTCGAGTACTTGAGTACTCGTTGACATCCCTAGTTAAAACATATTGCCTTTCCACATTAGACAAGTGCAATAACTTATATGTTACTTTTGTTTAAAGATAAACAAGAGAAGCCATCTTATCAAATTCCTAAGCCACAAGGGAGACAACCTAGTGGACCTGAGGAGGATGTTCTCTATCAATGGAGACTGAAGAGGAAGGTGGAACAGGCCAGAGATAATGCTTCAAAAACTCCTGCTGTCAAATTTGGTTATAACGATAAATCACCTGGACAGGTAAGAAGAGAATGAAATAAGGAAGGGTTAATGTTGTATACCAGCATTCACTTTAGACATTTTTAATTTGTAAACTGTTGGTTGTTCTTAAAATAAGGTCCTCCCCAAAAATAGCACACTTATGTGATTACTAAGTTTTGTTCTTTTGTTAGTGATGTTCAGTTAATTAACCCACATCTGATTAAAACATCATGTTAGTGAGTTAGTCAGTAAGCATAGTGCTTTTATTAGCTTTTTTATTTTGGTTGAAATATCATTTCGTCTGTTTTTCATAGAAAAGTACAGTATTAGATTCATGAGACACATAAAACACATATAGACAATTGCCTCATTTCAAAGTGAAATCAAATAACACTACAGGTCGGTTTTTGTCGAGCCTGCGACTTTTGTCGCAGAAAAGCTCGACATAAAGATAGTAATCCGGCGGCAGGTTGGCGGCGTTAACTAACTTCTTAAAAGTTAAATATTTAAGAAGGTAGAAGACCTGGATGCTTCATACTTTGTATATAGATGCCTTATGATATGAAGTTTCCGTCTGTCATATGTCCTTTGTCCTTGACGTTGTTTTCATGGTTCAGTGACTACTTGAAAAAAAAGTTCAGATTTTTTGTAATATTAATTTTTCTCTTATAATGAGTAATAGGATAACCATATTTGGTAAATGCGTACCTTGCAAGGTCCTCATGCCTGTCAGACAGTTTTCACTTGACCTCGACCTCATTTCATGGATCAGTGAACTAGGTTAGGTTTTCGTGGTCAAGTCCATATCTCAGATACTATAAGCAATAGGTCTACTATATTTGGTGTATGTAATGATTGTAAGGTGTACATGTCCAACTGGCAGGTGTCATCTGACCTTGACGTCATTTTCATGGTTCAATGGTTATAGTTTAGTTTTGTGTTTTGGTCTGTTTTTCTTATACTGTATGCAATAGATTAACTATATTTGGTGTATGGAAATATTTTACGATATACTTTCAGTCTGGCAGTTTTTTTTTTTACCTTGACCTCATTTTCACGGTCATTGCTCAATGTTAAGTGTTTGTGTTTTGGTCTGTTTTTCTAATACTGTATGCAGTAGGTCAACTATATTTGGTGTATGGAAATATTTTACGATGTACATGTCAGTCTGTCAGGTTTTATTTGACCTTGACCTCATTTTCACGGTTCATTGCTCAATGTAAGTTTTTGTGTTTTGGTCTGTTTTTCTTAAATTTAAGCAATAGGTCAACTAAATTTGGTGTATGGAATGATTGTAAGGTGTATATGTCTGTCTGGCAGGTATCATCTGACCTTCACCTCATTTTCATGGTTCTTTGGTCAATGTTCAGTTTTCCTGGTTAACTTCGTTTCTTAGATACTATAAGCAATAGGTCAACTATATTTGATGCATGGAATGATTTTAATGTGTACATTTCTGTCTGGTGGGGTTCATCTGACATTGACTTCATTTTCATGGTTCATTAGTCAATATAGAATTTCCATGGTTTGGTCTGTTTCTTTTATACTATAAGCAATACGTCATCTATATTCTGTGTATGGAATGATTGTATTAAAAGTGTACATGTATTTCTGGCTTGGTTTATCTGACATTGATCTCATTTTCTTGGATCATAAATATTATTGTGATACTTGTAGTAAAACTTTATATGCAGGACTATCAACATAAAATCAATGGTCGTCCTGAATATGCACGAAATATTTGCCACTGGACGTTAAGCAACCAACAATCAATCAATCAATAAAATCAATGGTCAGTATAGTAGGCGAGACATTTCAGCATGTGCACTCTTGTTGAAATTTAAGGTGGTACATAACACTGCTGGGAGATAACTCTGTAAAATTCAGCTGAATGTTTTATTCACGTTCTATTGTTAAGGAAATATTAAGCTTCTCAATGATCAAACTTAGTGTTTGTCAAACTGCTATATATCCAATGAAATTTTTCCGATAAAGTGTGTGGTTCAAGTTTTTTGAAATTTTTATATTTTTGTCAAAGGGTCAAAGTAAATATTTTGTCAAAATTTTATGAAAATTTAAACAAGCCAAATTAATTTTAGTCAAGGTGTTTGGTACCACCTTAAAACACCTTGTGTGTTTAAAATCATTTAATCACACAACAAAAAATCTTAACAAAGCCCACAGCTGTCAATTTCACTCCTGAAATAATTTTCAAGGGTTTTTGGAGGCTCTTGTTGATAAACACACTATCCACTTTAAATTTTGTATATTGATAACCAATGGTATGTCAAGACCAGATTGCTGAGAATTCATGTGTAATAATCTAAATTATTATTCCTTTTTACAAATATTAATAGAATAAAATTATTTTACTGTATTTTAACTGACATAATAATTTTATATATCAGAAAGAGATCGATCAGAAGCTAGATGAATTCAAGCAAAGATTATCTGGGAGAGGTGGACAAACAAGTCTGCCAACTGATGAATATAAAAATTCTAATGTAAGATACACAAGTGATTCACATTTTTCATCTGGAACTGTCCAGTTTACTCCTGCTCCACAAGCCAAAGGTCAAATACAGGTACTTGATCTCACATGTCATAAAATAAATTAATTGAAAATTTAAAAAAATTATGATGATCATTGATATGTTTCTAAATTTTGTTCAATCATTATGTTCAAATGAATAAATATGGATGAATTTTTTAAACGACATTATTTTTTCTCTCAGTTTTATACAAAGAAAGAGACTTAAAATGGCTTAGAGAAGTTTATTACTTATTAGATTATTTATGAAAGTATTTTATATAAAATATTTTTGGATTATTTTAGCATTCCCATGATATGCCAGCCGATCCAGAGAAACCATTTCCTATTGCTAGTCCAATGCTTCCCCATAAAGGTGCTGATGAAATAGAACCTCATTTTCATTTAACATGTGACTTGTTGCCATGTTCTCATCAAGGTCATACAACTCACCAACGATCACCGAATGATTTTAGGAGAGACCATGAAGCAAATTCAGCAGGAAGTAATTCAAAATTTACAAAAACTGACAGTAAAGTCTCAGAAAAAGATAAAGAAATAGATAGTGATAGATATAAGTTTTTACAAGCTGAAAGACCCGATATAGAAGAGAAAGTAGAAAGTGAAAGTAGGGCAAGTAGGTCATGTGATGATGAACAGAGTAAGAAACATGTGACTGATGAAGATTATGATTCTTTTGAAACTGATAAAAGTAATAAGTTAGTGGATAAGGAAGGTAAACAGAATGTCAGAATTCAAATTCAAAAGGAAAGTGAGTCAAAAGTGAAAAGGAAAATAATTACAGACGATGACAAAAGTATTCCAAAAGAGGATGACAGAAATATTCCAATTTTGAAAAAGTCAGGGAAACCAACACACTCCAAGCCTGTAGTGGATAACGCCATTGGACAGGTAAATTATCACTTTATCATGATATTATATTTGATTAACTCAACTATTAACAAATTTATTATGCTTCTTTTATTTTAGAATACTATGGAGTAGTGCTGTTTGTGCATACAATGAAGTAACTGAATATGATGTATTATATCTTAGTTTCATCAGAATGGATGAATTCTAAAGCATGTCAGTAAATTAATTCAAGAGAGAAAATTATGACAGTAACTTTGAAACTCTAAAACCAGGGAAGTACAAAGACCTGAATTTTACCCAGAATTTAGAGATAACACTAGACTAAGTTAAAATGCATAGGCATTGTTTTCAAAATCTTGAATTTAACACCTATAATTTGACAGAACTACGTTCAAAGGACTTAATAGAGAAGTAAAGAATATTTGCTCTAAAGCTTCTTTATAGTAACTAAAAACAAATTTGAATATTACTTTCCTTTAATTCAATATGTTTATGCATGAACATATATTGGGGAAAAAACAACATGTAGGGTATACATTCATTGACAGCAACCAAATGATAAAAACATACAGTGTTCAACAATAGACCTTTGTCTTTTCAAAATATTAAGTTCTAAATTTTCCAAAGTCTACTAAAACTCAATATCCCGAAGGACAAAAACATAAGACAACTACTGTATGCAATTACATTCATATTTTAGTAAATTTACAAGATTCATGATATTAGATTAAATTGTTTCCAGGTTGTTAAAGACAGGTTATTCAATATATCAACCAGTACTGTGTTATCCAGTATTGACAGTGAGATTTCTTCTCCTCCTCGACACCCAAAATTTACAGCAGACAGTCAACAACAGAAAAAAGAAAACACAGGTAATTGATCTGGGGTCCAGCTATAATTTGAAAGGGGAGGCTAAGGCACTATTTTTAGGGTAAAAGGTCAAAATAATTTGTGTATACATACAAGTATAATTTTTAGGGTTGACTGCGTTGCATGCAAATTTTATAACTAAGACCCGTCTTGAAGGGTTTAAGAAATATTTTATATTATTAAACATTTTGAAATGATAGTTAGAACTGGCACAAAATAAATCTTCAGAAAATGTATATGTCCTTTCTTTTCCCCATCATGAAGAATATCTTGGTTTCATGCAACTCTAGAATATTTCAATGTTTATGATGTTTCATCAACTTTCATTAATATCAGTAGTGGTAGTTAGAGAAAAAAAAACTCACATTTTAAGGATAAATCAGCTGAAAATATGTACATCTTTGAAAATTTATATTTTTGTTCAGTCATGGGAATTCAGAATATTAATAATATTTGATTGGGTGGGGGTTGTATACTGCAGCAAATTTTACACTTTTAAGAGACTGTAAATCCCAAACTTAATGAATGCATTTAAAATTGTTAATAATTGACAATTACGCAAAATTAATCCATGCAATGCCTATTCATATGTGTATTTGAAGTATTAATTTTCTACTAGTAAAAAATCAACTGAAAGTCATATTATTGTAACAGTTTGATTTTTGTCATATTTTGCATTAATAAAAACATCTCATAATTTGAAGTCCGTACTTTGACCTATAATGGTTTACTTTTACAAATTGTGACTTGGATGGAGAGTTGTCTAATTGACACTCATGCAACATCTTCTTATATCTATCTCATAATTTTCTCATTTAAAATTAATCCAATAAAACTAAATTTGATGTGATGTTTGAACAATGTCTATTTCAGATGATTCTTATGAGTCAGATGGAGAATACCCTGATGACCAGTTATTACACATGTTACGACAACAGAGGGCACAGTATGAGGAACAACTCAGGTAAAACAAACTCTTAATGGGAAATTTCACATTATTTAGAAAATTTGGAAAAAAATGGATGTGGAATGTACATCAATGAGACTGCAAGGCTGAGAAACCCAAAAACACAACAAACCAATAGATTGAAAGACATTACACAAATTTATTACTTAGTTTGAAAATAAATGAACAAAATTAAATCATTTAGTTATGCATACAGTTTTTTAACTGACCAATATTTCATATGATTTTCGAAAATAATTTCAATCTGTTAAACAGCAAATTTCACAAAATAATGATGAAAATTTGAATATTTTTTTTCATATAGATCTTTATGTACTGAATATCTACATGTTTATTTTCCATGACAATAATATAAAAATCACTTATTTGTCAAATAATGAGTATACATTTAGTTGTCTTCTTTTTTTACAGACATATAGATGACATGCTAGCAAGATTAGAACCAGAAGAATGTTAAGAACACACAATTTTATATGGAACTTTTTGTATGAATCTACTGATCTAAGTCCATTCCTAACAGTGAAGATGTGCTACCCAAGTCTTGACAGTTTATATATCAGCTTAACATAGAAAGATGCTTGAAAGATTGGAAGAATAGGATAAGAAAAAATCCAGTCTTCTGACACTAGCTTGTAATGGAACATCTTGTTTTGGCTTGGATATTTGATAGCCTTTTCTTTTTGTATATTAAAGTGATTTGTAATATATTTATAATAAAGCTATTTATTTATTTTATTTTTACCTTAACATACATTTTTCTGCCGGGAAATATTACATTCATTCTGTGGTTAAAGTTTTTAAAATTCTAATAACTTTCTTAAACTATCCTGGGTATGTACCAAACTTGGACAGAAGCTTGTTTATGATCATAAGATAGTATCCAGAAGTAAATTTTGTAAAAAAATAAATCCATTTTTTCCTTATTTTATTTTTAAATGGACTTAGATTTTCTGCCAGGAAACAACACATTCACTCTGTGGTTAAAGTTTTTAAAATTTTAATAACTTTTTTATACTATTTTGGATTTGTACCAAACTTGGACAGAAGCTTGTTTATGATCAAAAGCTAGTATCTAGAAGGAAATTTTGTAACAAAATAAATACATTTTTTCTGCATTTTACTTTTAAATGGACTTGGATTTTCTACCAGGAAACAACACATTCACTCTGTGGTTAAAGTTTTTAAAATTTTAATAACTTTCTTATACTATTTTGGATTTGTACCAAACTTGGACAGAAGCTTGTTTATGATCAAATGCTAGTATCTAGAAGGAAATTTTGTTTTCTTCCAGTTAACATTACATTCAGTCTGCAGTTTAAAGTTTTTAAACATTTATTAGATTCATAAACTGTCCTGGATTTTTACCAAACTTGGACAGAAGCTTCTTATAATCAAAAGATAGTATCAAGTGGAATATTTTTATTGAGCCTGCGATTAACAGAAAAAGTAGGCGAGACACTGGGTTCCGCGGAACCCTTACGAATTTTTAGTCAAGAGTGGTTATGTTGGTTAATCAATTTAGACGAAAGTCACAAACTTCATAGTTGACGTTCTACAGATGAAGCAGACAAACTTTGCATAGTTTCTGTCCATTGAACAGTGTCAGAGAAGATTTTTATTAAAAAGATAAATTTTGGAAGAAATTGAAAATTGATGGAAGTAGCTCACATGACCTTTGGGGCCAGGTGAGCCAAAAACATTTCCTGATTTTACCTATTCTCTTCTGGATGGTTTTTGTTATTTTTTGGGGTTTGTACATGTAATTGTTTCAGATAGCCACATGTTGGCTTTGAACACAGACAATTTGTTGAAAATAAAATGGAATAAGAACACATAATAAGCATTCCATAGATGCAAATCATAGGGCAGACTAACCCAAGAATAAAAATTAACAAGTATTGAGGTTAACACAAAATACTGAAGTTATAACTATTGACAAGATGAATGTCTATAAAAAGCAGGAGTGGATCTAGGTGGTGTGAAAGGGTAGGCAGTTGCAGCTCTGTATACATCATCTGTCATGAGTCCCAACAGTCCAACTGGTAATAGTTGAAAATAAAAAGAGGAACATACTGTTAAGACATGAGAAACAAGTCCAACATCATTTCTTTTTATAGTAGCTAATTGAAATGATCAATCAATTTGTGATGACTACTAAAATTTCCATGGTTTATTTACCTCTGAGATCCCTGGTTCAGTAGCTTTTGTGACCACAATTATCCTCTTGTTTTCTGTCCTATGAGGTCTTTCCTACTTGCATAGTATCCTCATATGTTTAACTACTTTTGAGTCAAAATTTCTCAATTGAATTGTTTTTATAGCTGACTATACTGTATGGGTTTTTCTCATTGTTGAAGGACGTATGGTTGCCTATAATTGCTTACATCCACTTTATTTGAACTTTGGTGGATAGTTCTCTCATTGGCAATCATACCTCATCTCCTTATTTTTATATTATTTACTTCAACCTCACATACTTCAGGTATTACTGAAACAAGCAATTTTATTCCCCATCTGTAAATGTTGAAGGACTTTTAGATTTCCCTTGCCCTCCAGTGTGTACATATGTCAGATTCTTGTTTAGATTTGCACTGAGGTCAATTCTTAGTTATTAATAAATCTTGGACAACAGGTATATCTTGGTTATAAGTATAGGATGCTGGAGGAATTATGTTACTTTGACAGTTTGCTTTAGTGAATTTGGTAACGTTTTGTGCTTTAAATATAAAAATGAGGATGAGGTATGATTGCCAATGAGACAACTCTCCAACACAGACCAAATGACATAGAAGTTAACATTTATAGGTTACTGTACAGCCATATGACATAGAAGTTAACATTTACAATACAAAACAATACAAACAAGAAAACTAACAGTCTGATTTATGTACAAAGCAATAAACGAAAAACAAATATGATATACAGCTTCAAAGGACAACCACTGCTAGATCTTGGATAATGCTATTGATGCCTCAAGAATTATGTCAATTGACATACAATTCATGCTTGTTGATTTTGGGATTACATTTTTTCATATTTTGATATTCAGAGGTCAGGGCATACATTTCTTAAAGACACATTGTCCAGATTTAAGGAAAATTTTAATATACTGTACCAGTATCTCTTTATGTAAATTTTCATTGAAATCCATCAAAACATTTAGATAAAATTGTGCTTCATGATGTAAGAACAGACAAGACATCCTAATTCTCAAAAGACAGGTGGATTTTCTATAAAATAGTTACAACAACTTCACAGAAGGGATACTAAGGATGGTCCTTGGTATTCGTTATGTCTGAATTTTTTCTTTGTTAAGCTATTCAGGAATAGATTGCCATGTGAATGAGTCAGGCTCCTAGGAGTCTTACTTTGATCACCTGTTATATGAGCAATTGCAATCAGTTAGGGTCTTGTTTCTCATGACAGGAAAACTGAATCTAGATTTTGTGCACAGGCACTTGTCTAAGAAAAAAAATTTCCTATATACCTTAATATAGCAGGTATATAGGAAATTTTTTTTCTGAGACAAGCACCTGTGATTTTGTGGTCCTTATCCATGCTTTAAGGTTGACATTTTAGTAGGTCTGTGTGTGAAAAGTTGAAACATAATTGTTCGAAAGACGAGTTTTAAGTGATGAAAATTAAAAAAATATAAGGAAACACCTCAAATTGATTTTATGGAAGATTTAATATAAAAAATGTACAATGGTTCTAGTAAATCTAATTTAAAATCTGTGAAATTATGACTAGAAGGGCTAGTTATACACTTTGTCCTGTGAAAAGAAATAAACCTACAAATTTGATTCTACAGTTTTCATTAAAAAATATATAACATTATTATGAGTCATACCACAACAATTCAGATTTCAACAAACAATACATAAATATTTGCCATCACTTAATCATGTACACTGATTAAACAAAAAGTATAATTTTAAGATATGATACAAAGACTTCACTGAATCAACTGGTAAGATATTATAATAAATACTTATACATTTTTTACTTCTTCAAAATACAAAGATAAGGAATAACCTACAAATCTGTATAGTGTCATTTTATGATATCACACCAAATGTCAGCTCATTATGTGCCAACATAATCATGATAATGCAAGAACTTTCAACAATTTTTTTAGATTTCAAAGGGCATAATTCCATCAAAACATGTTAATCAAACAAATTGCAAGTGTTCTCTGTAAATCATTTTCAAACAAGTGAAAACCAGAAATGCTAGGTAATTGGAAAATTAAAAATTGGTTCACTTATCCAAAAGTTTGAATATTAAGTTGATTTTGATGCATTTTTTTATGAAAATATCATCCTTGGATGGAATGTTCTAGCATATATAACATGTTCACTCCTGCAACATTCTTTATGTGCATATCCATAGTCAGCAGCTTGTAATTCAGTGCAAGCAGTTGCTAGATGTTTGCCCAATTGGTTATTTGTTTGTTGTTTTTAGCATATATCAGACTGTTGGTTTTTCCTTCTTTGAGTTGATTCATGTTATATCATACCTCGGCCTTTTATAGCTTGCAATATCATATGGCTTCAACTCATTGTTGACGACCTTAGAGTGCCCTATATTTGTTTAAATCCTCTGATTTTTGGTGAATAGTTGTCTTATTGGCAATCATCCCACGTCTCCTTTTTAATTTATAGATGCAAGATAGCAATCTTGTTCAATAATCATGAAAAGCTATAAGTTAGATCACAATTACACTGACACTACACATGTTGGTTTAAATCTGTCTAGTGGTTTTGGAGAGATTTTTTTTTCAAGTCTGAGGTGCCAAAGACAAATGATGATTGATAGATGAAAGACACCATGTGATGGTAATAATTTGCATAAAAATTTGGTCAAGGTGAGCAAAAAATACATACAAATACGAATGTAATTTTTTTTTTAATGTAAAAATAATTAGTGATATGTACCTCTAAATTGCAATATTTTACATTACATAATTACCGTCCAAAAAGAGAAGAAAAATATATATGTGTATCTATTGGTAATATGGCAAAACTTGTACAATTCTATGTTTGTGTCAGCATTACAATGAAATTAACCCTGAATATTGGATATCAAAAACAGGAGGGGGAAAATCAATTATCACTGAAAAAAGTTATCTTTTCTCAAAGATAAGACTCCATTTTTGCCCTTCCATATTGTTCTGTAGTTTTTTTGTTTTTTTGTGTTTTTTTTTTCAATTTTTGATTTACTTATTACTTTTTATAAATATCCTTTGTTGTAAAAAATAAGAGACTCAAATTGTTTTAGTCTAATTCAACAAACAGTTAATGACTCTAGACAAAAAACTATTTGTCATATTTATAGCCTTATGCCAAAAAGTTAAAGGTTGATCAGCATGGTCAGTAAAACATTTTTTGTTTATCTACATCCTGTTTAGAAATATATCCCTGATAAATTTTCTTCTATAAAAATTTTATGGGGAGAAGATCAGTTAAATAAATAAACTGCTTCGCCGAGCGCAGCTGGATATGACCGCAGAGGTCCAACCCTGAACAGTTGGGGCAAAACTGGACACAATATTCAAGCTTGATACAGGTCTGGATTGATTGTAATTAAATATTTGACACATTATAGGTTTCTGACACAGAATAAATGTAGTCAAAGAACTTGAAATTGGTTGTATTATTTGAATTTATATTCAATTGAAGATTTCTTGCTGTTGTGCAATACACTGTGCTGTTGCGCAATACTTAGTTAATCTGTTTTCAGACTATATACATGTACAAAGAATTAGCAAAATAAATTGTGACCTCAAATTTTTTTCTTTGGTAAATTGACAATTTCTTAAATCTTGAGGGAAAAATAATTGATGTTAGTTTTCATCATATATTTCTTATCAATTTTCCAGAAATCGAAATTATTCCAAATTTAAATAATTCCTTGTTTTAAGGCAAATGTAACAGAGTGAAATCTATAGAAATGCATATCAAAATTTGTTGACATACTCCAACAATAAATATGAATATAAGTAAACAATACGTTAATGAATAATAACTTGCAGTGACATTAACAAGCTTACAGTAACTCTGTACCACTCTTTAAAATCTAAAAGGAAATTCCTTACATAACCTGGATCAAACATAGTCTTGAATCTCAACACCAAGCTACATGACAAGAAGGGAGGGCCAGGTCGGCCTCAGGTATAGTACATTGTTTAAATAGAAGAATTAATAAATAGTAATAATACTTTTTTTACAAAAAGGTTATTTTTACATTTTTAACTGCTTCGTCATTATACATGTTATAAAACATATATAATGTGAAAACTAATAATTATCTGTACTCAGAATATAAAATAGCATTCACTTTTTGTGTTGGTATACTGAAATTTGAGTGAAATATACCCTCTGTCCACAAGTTTCAGATATTCTGCAAAATACAGTTGTAGCCTATCTTGCTTGATGTACTGTACTTCAGACAGTTATCTTTTTTGTAAGATTTATTTTTTCCTGTATATCAGGAACTGGGAAATGCTTTGACATTGTAATAGTCCTTTTTATCTCATGTATCTGTTCCTTATCAATTCCTAATGAAGATGATCCTCCAAACAAAGAAACATGTGCTGGGGTGACTGCTGGCTTCAACGCAAGATGGTTAATTAACATCCAAAGGATGACAACAGACGATATGTTGATTGTTGCATTATGATTGGTTGGTAATTGTTCATTCCACAATGGCAGAGGGTCACTGCAATTTCTAAAAAAAATTTCATTCACACTATCATACATATATACATCAAAACCTTTTTCACTTAAAGCAATTGTTGGTATGAGAGATACTAAGCCACCACTGTTGCTGCTGTTTTGTTCTTGGGTTGATGCTTGGTAATACGAAAAAGTAATTGCTTGGGCCGAAAACTGATGAATACTTTTCGATTGCCGCAGAGATGAAAGTTCTGTTTCTACCTCAACTATCTGATCCTCTTCCTCTACCAATTCATGGAACTCTGAGATTTCATTTACTGGGGAACCTGAAATACCACAAATACCACCATTTGGAAAAACAAGTATGTCTGGGTTTCCATACCATAAAGCTGTAGTTCCTGTTCAAATAAAGAAGCACACCAATCAAAGAATTTCTTTAATCATACATCCTTACAGAAACATACATAAAACAGGAAGAATTCCTTAGAGTCCGATGAGAAAAGATATAAGGTGTATTGGGTATTTCGTGCATTAATAATTTTATCAATTGCATACAACTTACTGCAGTGACTTGTTATATGTTTTGCTGTCCACCTATACCTGTATAACGGAAATTCTTTTTTAAAATTGTGATGTCCAATTTGATGGGTACTTGTGTGATTGTAAGTAATGGCGGACAAATTTGCATACAAGTGTTAATATGTCTATTAGATAAGATTTATTTTATTAAAGTGTCACCATCCATTACCTCATCTAAAATGTTGTTTTTCTGTATGTGCTTCAAAGCTGTCTTTAAATCAAAATATTCAGTAAAATGCATACATGTTGTTAAACTAAAATATTCTTTAGTGAAGTTTTAAAGGGAAGTAAGAATATTTCATATAAATTATAAGATTATCTCCCCATGGAACCTTATTGACAAGATATTGTAACTTCACATATATTTTAATAAATATTACGTGTTTTAATTCAAAGTGATGTATGATTATTATATATATATATAGATGACTTTTTAAAAAAAATAGTATTAAAACTTAGTTGGGACATTGTTATAGTAATTATAAAATGACCACCCTCACCTTTCAAATGACTTATTCTGCCCCTGGATGTAAGGCAACCAACAATCAACCAATCAATCAATCAACTAATCAACTGACTCATTAAAATAACAATATGTAAAGAATTTTTTTGACACATTTTCATTATAGCCATGAAGTGAAAATAAAAAAGATATATAAAATCATAATGGATTGTAAGTATGCTGGTTAAAATTTTTGACTGATTTTCCCAGTGATTTTAGGGAAGATGTGAAAGATGATGACACATACCAAGTGATGGCTACACATGTAGCTCATTTCATTTAGACCTTTGGTCAAGGTGCATAAAATATCATGAAAATCACTCTATTAAAAAGTTAATCCTATGACATACAGCCGTAATAACGAACTGTTAAAACAAACTTACCAATTCCTGTATTTCCATAAAAAACTGTTCGACCACAGCCACAGGGACAGCTAACAACTTTATCTGGAACATCGTTGGACATAATATATGGTAATGGTATAGAAGTGTCTGTAGAACCTGGATCATAACTTGGAAATACCAATTGTGACAGAAGATGAATTGCCAGCAACATGGATATTTGCGACTCTGTGAATTTTTTCCTGTCTCTAAGTTCTTGTAATGCCTTACGAAGACATTTTTCGTGGTAATCTAAAATAAAGGAATTAGGATGAATGAAGCATGATATTTCAGAAGTACACTGGAGGCAAGTGTAGACATATTATTTTGCTTGACACAGTTAAATGGTGGACGCAGTAATACAAAGTATGTTGGACCTACAACAAAACCAATAGATATAGTTTCAAAACATATAAAACCAACTTAATCCAGCTTGTCCATGTTGTCAATTTTGAACGATTTTTCTAAGAAAAATTTACAGCCTACACTAACAGCAGAAAACAGAATTGATTCTCTGCTAACAAGCATTGGTTAAACAATTTGAAAAATAAACTGCTTCGCTGAGTGCAGCTGGATATGCCAGCAGAGGTCCAACCCTGTTGGGGCAAAAATGGACACAATATTCAAGCTTGATACAGGTCTGAATTTGGATTGTAATTAAATATTTGACATATTGCAGGTTTCTGAATAAATGTAGTCAAAGAACTTGAAATTGGTTATATGAATTGAATTTATATTCAATTAAAGATTTCTTGCTGTTGTGCAATACACTGTGCTGTTGCACAATACTTAGTAAATCTGTTGTCAGACTATAAACAAATAAAGTTCAATTAATTCTCAATATCATATTAGAAATTTATGAAAATCAAAAGGGAGCTTACATCAATAGATATAAACAATTCACCAAAGTTTCATGAGAATTGCTGACAGCATTTTTGAGTTATTGTCAGAAAACTGGAAAATCACCCTATTTTTAATGAATAAAACCCCATAACTCAGAAATGTAAAATGTAAAATTTATAAAATTCTTAAGGGAGCTTACATCAATAGATATAAACAATTCACCAAAGTTTCATAAGAACTGCTGAAAGTAATTTTGAGTTCTTGTCCGAAAACTGGAAAACCCCCCCTTTTTTTTTTAATAAAACCCTGTAACTCAGAAACGTAAAATCTAAAATTTATAAAAATCGAAAGTGAGCTCATGTCAATAGATATAAACAATTCACCACAATTTCTTGCAAGTTGGTGAAAGCATTCTTGAGTTATTGTCCGAAAACTGGAAAATCACCCTTTTTTTAATGAATAAAACCCCATAACTCGGAAACGTAAAATCTAAAATTTATAAAAAACCAAAGGGAGCTCATGTCGATAGATATAAACAATTCACCAAAGTTTTATGCAAATTGGTTAAAGCTTTTTTGAGTTAATGGACAGACGGACAACGGTATACCATAATACGTCCCGTAAATTGGCATATAATAAAATCCCCATCGACACATTTTTTCAAGACACCCTTAGGATGTTTCTGGTCAAGTTTGGTTGGAATCTGCTCAAAGTCGTGATGCATGTACATGTAACTTGTTTCAAAAAGAGAATTGTTATTTTGTTTTTTTAAGGTTTATGATGATAAGGCACAGCAAGTGATGGCAATATTATCTCAAATAAAACCTTTGATCCAGGTTTGCTAGAAGCTGGTCAAATGTGATTTTTTTTTTCCACCTTAATGTATCCAAAGAACACCATAAAACAAACCATTATGTAAATGAAAAAAATGTATCTGATCTTGAACATACATGTACATGTACATACTACTTCTGTGGAAGATTGGAACAGCATGACATATCCTTGTACTGACAATAATTAACTTCAGAAATACGAACAATGACAAAGCCTTGTTTGTATTTCCGGTCTGTTTTGTTTTGAAAAGAGGAGACATGCATGTAGAATCGATATATGTTTTTATGCTTCACCAGGCTGTCTTAAATCAAAGGGAAGGATGGAGAGCTCTTAAGATGTTTAATGCTTAACTTTATTCTTTGTGTGACCATGGTGACTGTCCATACTCTAAATCTCTTTAAATCAGTGTTTGAGGTTGGTTGCTGTATTCCTTATTTGTTGTTTGTTTACATGGTTTATATCAATGTTTGTTACTTTGTTATCCAATTTGAACTATTTGACATTTTTGATATGCAGGTATTAATGTTGATCATTACTGAAGGCTTTCTGGTAACCTATTAATAGTTGTTTACATCCTCGTCCTTTAAGTGTCTTGTGGTTGTCTTATTGGAAATTGTACAATATAACTGTACATTTACATGTGCATTTCATGCAACCAGGTCCGACCTCAACAGTAAGTGTTATCTTGTGATTTGAGTGAAATGTAAATTATGTCCACAAACATATATGTTTACATATATGAAAAACAAGTGAAGGACAACACAAAGTGTTTTGAGATTCCAACGAGCAAAACACCACAATATTCATGATATTCAAACTCCTTTTTTGTGAAAACAGTGATCGGAGTGGAATCACCTTGAAGACACTGTAGTGCGCGCACCGAGTGTTAATACAGCTTCAAAACTGCTCTCACGCACTGTCTATAAATCGATGGCGATTTTTCTACAGTTGTATTAAAGCCAGTATTGGTATCCACAACATTCTCATACAGATACAGATACATTTTGAGCTTGATCGACCCTTTCCCAAATTTTTCATATTATTGACACCTATTTTTCATATTATATCACGACACGCTTATACAACAAAACAAAAGGGGCAAACAGGTACATGTATGTGGACGAACGTGATTGTGGGTTAACTTGGATTCCTCATGCCCTATATCAGGAACATATATATATATATATGTTAGATATATATATACTGTTCCCGCCTATATACAGGGTGCATGCATTAAAGCCATTATGCTTCACAATTTTTGATTTATATTCAAAATACCTTTTTTCCGCAAAAAATGAAACAGTGGAGCAAGTTGATACATGCGTCCTAGACTTTCACTGTCGCTTAACATGCGAAACCCATCTGCAAACAAGTCTTTGAAATTCACTCTGTAAGATATATATGAAGATATCATATCTTCTGGAATAGATTCTGGATTCCTCAAATTCCCGTTCTTATCAGCCACACACTCTACTGGTTTGACGATTGCCTCAGAAAATGATGTTCCTATTGTACAATTTTTTAACAGATATGGACTAAATTGGAAATCTTGTACTTTTGAAAGACATTCCTTAATCGAATAATTTGACGTAAACCTGTGATGATGTAACTTAAACAGACCAAATAAATGGCGTCGACACACACATGCAATGCTAAAGCCAAATGCCATGGTGTTGTTGTTTTGTAAATGCCTCCACTGGTTAGTGAATGCTACATATTTTTACATCACTTCTTTATTTACGAATCACAGTATTATGGCGGGTCAAGGGGACTTAACTCTGGGTTAATCTAAAGACCTAAAATATCATCTATGACGAGTTTACCTGCAACGTACCCGGGGACCCAGGGACCAGACGGTCCGAAAGTGTTGTACACAAAAAATTTAATATGAACTAGTCAACAAAAGCAAGACAAACCTTTATTTGGTTTGAAAGGTAATACAAAATCTTTGAACAATTTACCAGCCAAAGTGACATGCCACCTTTGAGTTTAATTTAATTCACTAGCGCAGTCATAAAACAATCATAGTATGATATAGAACTCTGAAGTAAACTATTTAGACACATATTTATCTCTTTTATAGAGCAAAAAATAATAGACCTCTGAATTCTGGAAAAGAACAAAACATTTTAAGTTTTGCTGAAAAAAAGTCCAATTGAAAAATTACATTTGGCTTTTTGTAAATTTTTACTTGGAACCAGAAAGAAAGCAGGAGAATTCCTAGAAATTTAAAACATTAAAACACCAATTTTATAATATTTCAGTAGATTACAATGTTGTACATCCCATACTCTTTTGAAAGGAGCTTATATGCTTAGTAAAAACTTAAGACACAGAAGGAGTATACTAGCTCATGATCATGCAGTCTGGTTTACATGTGCATAAAAAAATTTATGTGAACTTAATTCAGATATTACACACATTCAACATTAGTTCAGACCTGACAATAACTATAAATATTAAAGAGACTAATGAAAAGTTTGTTCGTTGAATAACTACTAGATCATCATCGTGCTGATTGGTCCGTCAGTGATTCTTGCTGTTTACAGATTCATTTAAAACTTGTAATTCCAAGTCAACAACTCCTCAAAAGAGTTTACTTAGCTCATCATTTTTAATGTTCTGCTTCATATTTTTTATAATAATTGCTGAAAACGCAAAAAAAAAGGGTAACACTGGTCATCTATTGGAAGGCAGCAATCATGTGACGGCCAAGTTTGATTGAAATTGGCCGGTCCAATGGTAACAGGAGATGTTTTAGAAAAAAATTATGACGACAGACAATAGCTCACCTGGCCTATATAATTATAGCAAAGTTGACTTAAAATTAAAATCTCTTGAGGAGATAGTACAGATTTTAAATAAGGACACACATGTAAAAACCTGGTATCATTTATCAACTATACAAATTCTGACAAATTTTACACAACTTGTGGATTATAAAAAAAAATAAAAAATAAAGCAAGACTAACTTTATTTTTGCAAATTATCAAAAAAATCTATTGGTTTTAATTTAGACCCTTTACAATTTGAGAACTTTGACAAAGTTATTTAAGAAATAATTTCTTCATGTCATGCTCTATGCTCATTTTAACATGGGTAGGCATTATATTTGTCGATATTTTACAAGGAGCGTTGACGTTAACTGTTGACGAAGCTACAGCTTCAATGACAAAATGTTGCAGACTTGAAAAAAAAATTGTTTCACACTCAGCTGCCACTATATGTAATGCTAAAATTGTCAAATTAATTTGAAAACAAATAATGTACACATACCCTTAAAAATGGAATCAAGATAATGTTCATATGCCAGATTAAACCAGACCATAAGGCAACTGCATACAAGATATGGATTAACTCATTCTTCTTCAGTCTGGATTATGAAGTTTTATATCAGGAGCATCCACTGCTAGATCTGTATACCTGTATTTTGTATCTGATGAGCCTTTATATAAACTAGATCATTTTAGAGTTCTAGATCTATTTAAAGACTTTTGCAGCCAATCAGGTAATCAGCAAGTCCAATGAACATTTCTGTCATGTAATTCGTAAGTATCATTTGTGTGGTCTTGTTTAAACTAGCAAAGAAGTTTCTGTGACATTTAAAACTCAAAACATGATGTTGAAAGATACCAAGAGATGGAAATATAAACTGTTGACACAGAGATATGTCTTGCGTTTTTTGGTGGTATATAATGCAAATGTTGAAATTAAATTGCAATATTTAAACTTGTTATCTATGCAATGAACCATGACTGACGGTTCAGGGCAAAATAAAAACACCATGGAAATGCTAATGCTTATAAAACTGCATACCCAACACCATTGACTTATCAATTGGTTCCTTGTTCAACTCTGAAAGTTTCAAAGTCCATGAACCATGACAAGGAAGTGGGACCAAATAATCTCTATGAAAATGAGACTTGCAAATGCCAATACAACTGCATACCAAATATCAGATATTAGTCACTCATCTTAAACTGATCTAATCACAAATCACATGTAAATAATGCAAAACATTGTCAATAAACCATGACTGAGGCTGGAGCTGAATCTCTATGGAACTGAGATTTGTCAATGCGTATACATCTGTATACCAAATATCATTGACATACCACTTATAGTTCCCTTTCAATTGACCTAATCACAAACTTATACATGTAAACTAATTAAAAGTTTTAATTCGACTATGACTGAGGGAGAGAAGCAAAATAATCTCCTTAGAAATAAGATGTTTCAATGCTTATATAACTGCATACCAAATATCATTGACCTACCACTAGTTGTTTTCTTTAACTTGAACTTATCACAATCAAATACATTGTTGAAGCTGATGCTTATGGAAAAAGCATGCCCAAGTCTCGCTTTTTAAACTTCGTCCATACCATACAATAAATCAGCTGTGTGTTCCCCTTGACCACAGAAACCTCTTCCCCCTTTATTTGTCATTCAGACTCAAATAAAATATAAGATAGGTTTTCTCAATTAAACTTTTATTTACCTATTTATTTATGTCATTATCATGCATCATAATATAAAATACCCAAATGAAACCAGACCCATTCTGCTCCATCAAGTGTGTACAAATACCATAGAAATTGTAATAATAATAAGTTTTTAGTCCCTTTATAAGTAAAAGGAGGAAAAGGATCTGCATCATGGGTAAGGTATCATTGGTTAAATATTACAATTATACAAAATAACTGACAGAGCTGAGGATTCTTTTTAGTTTCTTGATACCAGTTCCCAGACTAGCTGTTTAAATAGAATTTAGAAAATCAATTCTGTTCTGAGATACATGTCTTAAATTTTAATATCCTTAGGTCTTAAAGGAATATTTTTTTTGCTCTGAATATTAAACTTGGTGCTTTCCAATACTTTTAAATACCAAACTTCAAATAAATTTATATAATTTCATAAAATATATGAATCCTCAGTTTGTCACATACGAAGAGGCATTTACAAATATAACAATGAATACAATGGTAAATACTAAGATAAAAAATGCATAAAAATACATGAATCAAATTCATTTATGAGGTGTACTCAATTTATTTACTGGGTTATTTAAATAAACTAATATCATGATCTGTGCAAAAATTATTAGATCACCAAGGAAATAGTTCACTGCATTTCATTAAACATTTATAACCCCAAGCTCTTATATTGTATATAAAGTTTCTTTATAATTCCTCCCAATTTCTAACCAAAGTCAATTCTTTATATCAAAGTAGGATAGTTATTTAACAATACATGTATGATATAAGTATTTTTTTTTTATTATTTTCTTGGAACCAGAACTTTTTGCCCAGGAAGTAATAAGTAATTATTTCATTTAAAATAAAAAGAGGAGATATAAAATTGAGAATGGAAATGGGGAATGTGTCAAAGAGACAACAACCCGACCATAGAGCAGACAACAGCCAAAGGCCACCAATGGGTCCTCAATGCAGCGAGAAACTCCCGCACCCGGAGGCGTCCTTCAGCTGGCCCCTAAATAAATATGTATACTAGTTCAGTGATAATGGACGTCATACTAAACTCCAAATTATACACAAGAAACTAAAATTAAAAATGATACAATACTAACAAAGGCCATATAAAATATGATTGCCAATGAGACAACTCTCCACCAGAGACCAAATGACATAGAATTTAACAACTATCAGTCACCTACAGCCTTCAATCATGAGCAAAACCCATACCCATAGTCCATATCCTTTAGGAAATGTGACATAGTAAGCAAGTATATCATCTGTTTTCTCATCCGTCTACAACTTCCAATCACAATTAAAGGATTGAATTGATTTTGCCTAAACTTTCAAATAATCTTCAGTATCTGTTGGCATTGTGTATATTTTTTTCACATCCAAAGGTTCCCCAATCGAAGAATGGACTTTTCCATTTATAAAATTTTATTACTCATATTGAAGGATAGGTTGGTTCAGCTGATAAGAACATAGATTTAGTTAGAGCAAGATTCTGCATTTATAAATCTTGCAAGTTGGTCAATCTTCAAGGACCACTTCAATATTTATGTTCATTTTTTTTTTTATTCTATCCACTAAGAGGAGTTAAAAGCATAATAAATGTCTGATCTCATTATGTAAATTTATATTTTGAATTGCATGTATAATCAACATATATAAACTCAATCATACTAAGGCTTGGTATAACAAGATTTGACATTAAAAACAAATAAAATCACATAAAAACCACTAAAATCAGATAAAACAAGATAAAACACAAATCTTGTTATAGCAAAGCTTTATAAAATTTACATTAAAGCTACAGTGGTAATATATATCAGTGTGAACCCCAAATTTATTTTGAATTTAAGTCATTAAAATTTTGTCATAATGAGATCCAACTACTAAAAACATGATTAAAAACAAATATATTTGAACCAACCTATCCTTCACATGATAAAATGGTGGTATGAGAATTTAAGCTTCTTTCCCTTTTTTTTCAAATACTTAGGTCCATTCATTACAATTGAGAACCCCAAAATTTCATTATAATAAAATTAAATATACACAGCCATTAGAGACAGAAGATAATCTGAAAGTTTAAATGAAAACCTTCCAATAGTTTATAAGCTGTGGATGAGAGATGATGATGGACAAACAGACAGACAAATCTTCTTTAATAACAACAGGAGTGCAGATGGGCATGGGATTTGGTCCTGCCCTGGGTCATATCAAAGAATTGAAAATTGGTATTTGATGCTCTCCTGCTAAGCATTCAGCAATTAG